TAATAATGAAATGGAAAGAATGTAGTAAGAGTGTAAAGTGAAAATATTGTATATCTAATGTGTTAAATGTTATTTATATGCGAAGTAAGATTTATAGGAATAGTTAAGCTATAATATAGTTTTTAGTGTATAAAAGTAAGTGTCTATTTTTTTTTTTTGTAAATAGTTTTTGTATCGTATGTCAAAGCTTGATATAATTTTATATTTATAGTATTTATATTTGTATTAAACGATTTATCAATTTAAAAATAACCTTAATTAAGTTAATATTCGTTGTTTAAGTTTCATTAGATAGATTTTTATATATGGTTTTTTGTAAGTTCGAGTTTTGTTCATAAATGATGTGACATTTTTATCTACGGCGTCATCGACTGTGGGAATGCATTCGCCGAAGTCTGGAGTCGGTGGTGAGGAATGTTTTCAATGAAATTATAGTAGTTATTAAAATGTAAGAGAAATTACATATTCATTTAATAAATAACGAAAAATACTTAAATTTTGTAATTTATTTTATTTTCTTGCACATACAAATTTTTTGAAAATATATTAGGAATGTGTTAAATATTATTTATATGCGAAGTAAGGTTTATAGGAATAGTTAGGCTATAATATAGTTTTTATTGTGTAAAAGTAGGTATTTGTTTTTGCTGTAAATAGTTTTTATATCGTAGGTCAAAATTTGATATAATTCTATATTTATAGTATTGATATTTGTATTAATCGATTTATCAATTTGAAAATAACCTTAATTAAGTTAACTTTCGTTGTTTAAGTTTCATTTGATAGGTTCTTATATATGGTTTTTTGTAAGTTTGAGTTTTGTTCATAAATGATGTGGCATTTTTATCTACGGCGTCATCGACTGTGAGAATCCATTCGCCGGAGTCTGAAATCGGTGGTGAGGAATGTTTTCAATGAAACTATAATAGTTATTAAAATGTAAGAGAAATTATATATTCATTTAATTAATAATGAAAATAATTAATTTTTGTTGTTTTTTTATTTTATCTCACATACAAATTTTTTGAAAATATATATTAGGAAATATGTGCATTGATTTAACTTTTTGAACTCTTAATCTGTATTATTCAAGCCTCATTAAGCAATCTACGTAGGCTGCTGCATGGGATTCACTTTTTTTTTTGTTTTTTGGTCGGTTCGTTTTTGGATTTATTTTTTATTATTTTTGGGTTGAACTATATTATAATAGGATAGATTTAAGGCTCATTAAGCCATCCGCGTAGGCAACCGCGTGAGACGTGTTTTTTTTTTTATTGTTCGTTTTTGCATCCATTTTTTAACTATTTTTTGGTTTGAACTCGTTAAGCTTAGGGTTTATCCAACTATTTTGATCTTTAAAACAATAAGCAAAAAAAAAAAAAAAACAGAAAAACCTTATAAACAATAAGCCCATATGATAATAACCCAGATTAAAAAAATTAAAAATAAATGATGGCTGCGTGGTTTGAGCCCACGATCTTGTATGTTTAATCAAACAACTTATACCACTTGGCTAAAGTGTATTTCATTGTTTGTAATCATCTTACCAAGATTATAGGTTTTTAAGGACCTACGAGACCCACAAAACTGCTGACGTGGCGCGTTGTGGAGCCTAGAAAGTCTACTATTATAATATAGATTGTTTTTACAAAACATTTTCTTAATTGTATTATTCTAATCCTAACAAGTAGAGGATACCTTCATATATATGGTTATGTGAAAAAAATTGTGATAATTTGGCTAAGCTGACTATGAGCTAGACAAAGAGAATTGTAGAAGCTTGATTGCAATTATTAAAAATGGAGGTATTTTATTTTCAATCGCTTATGTTGCATGAAGGTAATTTTGGATGTTAAGTCATTTCTTTTGTCTGTGTTATTACAAAATATTTCGACTGTTTAGTTTCCAAAAGGGATCATAAGAATTAGAGTTTATACTATTGTTGTCTCTTTGTGTCACGGACCACAGCTCTTGTGAGACTTTATATAAAAGGGATAAAATTAACTCTGGGGCTCTAATGGTTGCAAAATATGCAGTTCAATATTTGTAAGAGCCAGGTTTAATTTTATTCAAGGCATGATAAAGAAAAATCAAATAGTTATCATCTATGGATTACACATCTTGTGAGTAATCGGATTTTGTTAGCTTTTCAATACTTTTTTGAGTGACTATCAATTTGCAATACATATGTGTAACTTGTTATGTTAGAAACTCAAAATCACAAAAATGTTATAGCATAAGTATGATGAATGTCTTGACATGATGCAAAACATACTATATATTATATATAATTCTGAAAGCCAAAAACAGCTCAATAAGGATTAGTGAAGGGTGAAATGATCTTTAAATAATCACTTTTAATAATGTTGCAAATGATCAGTATGAGAATATTACATACTATAAGATAAGTAAAGTAACTAAGGTATTTATACTATATAACACAACCGTAATTTGCCAACATAGGTGAATCACAATGAAAATATTTGAATCTTGATTTCCAACATAATTGATTCACATGTACAATAATTTTGGTTGATAACAAACTGGGTAATATATGTGAGATTATGAATAATCTTATTATAAATATAGTAGTTTACCAAAGCGAAATTCCTCTAAGTGCACCATACAAGTCCATAACATTTCGGTCAACTATGAAATAGATGGACCCGTATAGCTCCCATGGGTCTCGTTTATCGGGTCCACACACGTTGCTCCAATGAGTGGGTTTTGGTTTGGTGGCCGAAGTTGCTTCCAGGCAATGCTAACCCGAGTTCCGTATCCCACTAATACATTCATTTTATATATTTTGAAATTGCAACCTGTCTATCAACAACATTGTACTTGTTTCTTATATAAATGAATGGGATGAAGTTATGAACTGATTGATTTGGTGTTGTTTTTATAAGATCTTATCATATGGTTAAAAGATTCGATGGATATGCCACTATGTCAGTATAGATTAATTCAAATACAGTATTATTAGCCAAGTGGTGGCAAATGTAACTGTTTGGGATAGGTGACCCACAGTTACCATACACTGTGGAGACATAGGTATTGACTTGAAATGACGTCAATGTTCATAAAATTACATAACATATCTCGATTTAAATTACGTATTACTATAGCAGCACTCTATATGCAATTTAAAAAGAATCGTGCATAATTGTAGAAGGATAGTGACATAGGAAAGATTCCTTGTCATTCCACATTGGCTAGCTGTGCTAAACACGTTGGTAAGTTAGATAAGATATCTTCATACAAATATATGGCATTTATCATTAAATGAATATATTATACTAATCATGATTTGTTGAGTGAAAACATAATGTTACCAGATATGGAACAAGCTTGGTTACGTAGTTCATCTTCCTTCAACGATCAATTATATCCCTACCGAGTTCATATATTTTGATAGAATAACTATATAGTATTGTATATTTTACTTCAAAATCTAATTTTTGTTTGAAATGCTACCAAATCTTAGGAGTCCAAAATATATGAAATATCCGTAAACTTTACATATGAGATTGGATAAATATAGTAGTTCAGTGTAAATGATATTCCTGAAAAAAAAAAAAAAAATGATATTCCTGGTGATAATTCTATAGTGATTTGATGAAAAACGAAGTATGTGGTATTCGACATTGCGTAGAAACTTGGCTTTGGCATATCGGAAGTTTGGCCAAGAAAGTATGATCATGCAATCCTAAATGACTTTTATTAATGATCTCAAGTGAAAGATATTTTTGAGCATAAGCATATTGAAGTTGAGCCAAAATGCAAATTATGAAGTCGATATAGTTCAAGAGGAATTTTTCTTTTCACTTTAATAGAAGTAATTCTAAAGTATCATTATGTTGGTTCAAATTTAATATCATTTGGATTTTTTATATACGCCTTTGTGGACAAGAAATTGGAAGATAATAATGATGACAAATCGCATGAATAAACGAAAAGTCAACCAAGTTGTGAAGTAGTGGAAGTATGTGGTGGGATTTATTAACTAACTTACAATACATCAACATATGATAATGCATGTCTTTGTTACGTACCTATGACTCCATATATGACAATACCTCTCTTTTACGACGACATACATGCCCATGGAACTGTCGGTCGAGTTTTGCTAGAAATCAAGTGTTTTTTGTTTATTGTTTACTCAATCAGAGTTCGATTTTTCTTAAATGAACATTCGGTCGATGAAACAGTGATCTAAAAATACCAATATATTGTGGACTGAAAGTATACTATCTTTTTTTTTCTTTTGCTTTGTTTCCAATTTATTAACAAATCAACTTTTTGTTCTCTTGAAAACATCTCTAACGAACACCATCATTTTTTAGAAGGAAAATTATAAGCAATGTAACAAGAAGTACCAAAATGTGAAATTGATTGCAAAACCCCTTAAAATAAAAAGATGAAAAAGAAACGGTTGAAAATGATCTCAAATATACAGTTCAAATACAATTCAAAGTTCAAACCATTTTTGCCAAATAAAAATTAGAATATTATTTATGGAGGAACAAAGAAAGACACAAAATACGAAGGTCAAATCTCCGACCAATAGATTGGCCGGCTGATTCAACATGGAACCGTATAATATACTCCTTGTCAGACGAGATCTAAAATAGATAAGACAAAAGTGTGATGGAACAATACTTAAACCAGTTTGTTAGATACGTCAAAAACAAAAACCATTTCACGTATAATTATTTTGTTTTTTGATAGCCATTTCTTTGATGAAATCTTAGACCATGCGTCCATGCCTACATAAAAACATAAAATAAGTTAATTGACTTAAAACTGTTAGTTGTCCTCGACCCACTCAAAGATTAGTGCTGATGTAGTTCATGCAAACATGTGCAAAACAAACAAAATTAGATAAAGCTTATCAAAATTGCTATTCACTTTAGATCTGATAATCTTTGGATCAGCCCGTTTAAATAGGCCCATGAAAGGCCCGTTAAAACCCCCACAAGCTCGTTTCATTTTTTTTTTTTCTCATTGTTTCTTCAAATTGCAATTCATCTTCTCGATTATTCAAACCTCAGCAGATCCGTCTTTAATTTGTTTTTCTTTTGCTCCTTTTGATTCCGCGTGGAGATGGCATCGAATCTTCACAGAGGCGGTACGCATCTTCCGTACAGATCCAGGTCCTCCTTTTTTTAAAAAAATTGATTCTCTGGTCATCTGAATAGAGAAAGCTAAAAGAGGTTTTGTAATTTGGTTGCAGAGATGGGCTTAGCACTAGAAGTGGTACTGGTTCAGAGGAAATCCAGCTAAGGATTGATCCCATGCACTCTGACCTTGATGATGAGATCTCAGGTCTCCATGGTCAAGTCAAACAATTGAAAAATGTAACACAACCTTTTTATATCCCTCATGATTTTTGGTTTTATCTATTTATGTGTATTTTAATTTTCCTTTGGTTGTTTTTTTTTTTTTTTTAATGTAGATTGCTCAAGAAATTGGGTCAGAAGCAAAGTTTCAGAGGGACTTCTTAGATGAGCTGGTAAGTTCTTGATTGAAAACAATAAATTTTTGTAGTTTAGATTATGTTCAGACAGGGTCTGGTCTCAATTGAATGTTAAAACATCCGAGAAAAATGACAAACCACTTGATTTTGGTTGTGTTGTAAGAGTAAGCATACAAGCAAGTGAACCCAATAATGTTCTTGTCTGAAAACGGTGTTCTTTATTTTCTTCTTCTTTTTTTAATTTTGTGACAGCAATTGACATTGATCAGAGCGCAAGCTGGGGTGAAGAACAACATAAGGAAACTAAACTTGAGCATTATACAGAGTGGCAACAACCATATCATGCACGTGGTTCTATTCGCGCTGTTCTGCTTCTTTATTCTATACATGTGGTCCAAGATGTTCAAAAGATGAAAAGACTCGTGATTGCATCAGATGGTGTTACTCCAGAAAAAAAATTGATGGAATTTTGGAAAGTTGTAGAAATATCTTTTAGTAACTGACATTCTTGTGTGGTTCTTCTCGTTTAGTGTTTATATAGAGTGCTAATTTTGAACAATTCATAGAATCAAGCAAGATTATGTCACATAACCACCGCTTGAGATACTTGTAGCCTTCTATTTCATTTCTTTGTTAGACTGATTTAAAACCTGGTTTTACATAACCTGATTCATGAGCAATTGTGACAATGGTGTGTAGTATGTACTAGTCCCTACGGACTACGAACATTATGATAGAAGCTAGCTTCCTACTTTGACATCATGTCTTGTCTGCAAACATTACCGATACATTCATTGTACACATGGACAAGATTGAGCTCTATAAATAGCTTTTATATATGAAAAAACAATTGATACATATAATTGTAACAGTGGTATCAATAATAATTTTTTTTAATTATAATATTTTTTTTCGTTTCAGTTTAAATCACATAACCGAGTTAGCTAGTCAAGCAACAGGAAAAGAAGCATACTGAGCTACACCACACATGCCATAAGGCCACTCAACATCTCTACGGAGTCTAATAAAACCATTCTCTCCCCAACTCTTACCCCAAGAGTTCTTAGCCAACCAATACTTGATCCCTTCAGGGCTCCTCCCGTACCCAACTAACGTCACTGCATGATTCATATCTGTCCCACAGTCTCCATCATTGTACACTCCACTTGAGTAATGGATGAAACTGTCCTTCCTCGCAGCAAGCCCCACCGAGATTGGCTGAATCGATACAGCCTCGAGCAACGCACTCTCGTTATTTGTTGGAACTGCATTGAACCCACTTATCTGCATGGCGGGTGTGACGTTGGACCGGCAAATCCCATCTTTCATTTGGTAAGGGTATGATTGATCTGAAGCAATGCCTTTGTTTGATACAATGTACTTGAAAGCGTATCTCATTGATCCCCCCTTGCAACCATGGTCACGCTCTCTATCACAATCTATAAGTTGCTGTGCGGACAGTGATACTAGGTTTCCTTGGGAAATCTTTGTTAGACCTTCCACCGCTGCAATCGCTGAGAACGCCCAACAAGCACCTGCCCATATATTGATTACTTCATTGTTACCAACCAATCTCATATTTGAAATCTTTTTTTTTTTGCCAAACAAAAACACATATCAACCTAGTTTCAAATGAGTGCCCAAAATAAAAAGAAATTTCCAATGAATACTTCATATAAATATAACATGTATTAATTATTTAAATACTCAGTTTAATGTATCTCTTTTACCAGATAAAAAGAAAAAGAGAATTTGTATTTGCTACCCTATAACCTATGTGGAGTTAAATTGTGACACTAAATTACTAATCAATCCGTAGAGACTGATTATAAATATGTATATAATTCCAGCAAGCTTACCACATCCTCCTTGTCTTTTGGCAGGTGTTACAGCTCCTTCCTTTACCCAGTCTTTGCTCTCACCAACGTGGTTACTGGCGTTCCAGTTCCAAGGTGGTAATGGTGAAGTTACGTTAGTATCAGTGAGACACGTGTGGGTGGCTAGGAACTCCTCATCGGTCAAATCCGTAAACTCGTTGACACCAAGTTTGTAGCTTTGATTCCTCTTGTTATTGAAGTTCTCAATGAATTCCAAGTTTTTCTTGAATACTCTAAGCCTCATCTGTTTCTCCGATTCGTTCATATAAGCTCGAGAGAATTGGATCATCCATTGTTGGTGGTAATCAGCAATGGATGTCTCGTGACGGGATGTGGCTTGAGAGATCCAAAGATCCATTGAAAGAATAGTTAGAACCAAGAACACATACGACACTACCATAACCATTTTCGTTCTGATGGATACAATAAATAAAAAATACATGAAAATTTCAAGTTTACACAATAAAGTATGAAAATGTTAAGAATTTGTAAAAATGTTTGGCTTTGACTGGTTGTAGTGTTAGAGGAAACAAAAAAATTGAATAGTTAAAAGATCTTTACTAGATTCAGTCAAATGTAAATATGATTGCATTACCTAATTTGCTCACTCGTAGGCAATACAATCATATTTACATGACTGCTGTGAATCCAATAAAAATATTTTACCAAAATAGGATGAGTAAGAACAAATTAAACAATGGGACACTACATCACTTTTGCATTATTGGTTGACTGATTGTGTACAGTAAAAGTGTAAAATTCAAAATTTTAAGATAATGTGATAAACTTTTTACTTTCAAATTGGTAAAAAGTGAGAATAGCAGTGGATCTTTTATTTACTTCAGTAACGTTTTTCATATGATAGACAATCGATATTTTCTAACATTAAATATAATAATTAGTATTTGACCCAAAAAAATATATTAGTATATTTCTTATTGACCAAATTAGTTTTTTTAGTTTATTTTGCTATATTTTAAAAGAAAATTAACTTATAAAAAATTGACATCATACCAAATTATTATTTATATAATTATCTTTGTTATCTCTTGTGTGAGACGTGTAATAAACGTAAACAAGAATAGACCCGCATTGAGACGTAGATTATGATTTTTATTTACAAAATCGACAAAATATAATTGTTTTATTTTTATTTTTTGAAAAAAGGTTTAATATAATTATTTAGTTTCGTTAAGCTATATTATATTATGTTTGGTTATCTGAGCTTATGTTATTAATTCAGGTTTGGTTTATATCCGATTTTGTTTAGTGTTCTTTGGGTGTTCTTTCTGAATCTACTTCATGGTTTCTAAACTTATTCGTCAAGCATTGCGATTGAGTAGACCACACCAAAACAATTAAACCAGACTATATAATCACTCTTTTGTTATTCTAATGTTATATAATAATTATATAACACTTCAATAATAATTCATTTGCTACTCAACTAAACAACCGGATAATAAGCATACTGAGCCAAACCACACATACCCTCAGGCCAGTCCACATCTCTACGAATCCTAACATAACCATTCTCTCCCCAACTCTCACCCCAAGAATTCTTAGCAAGCCAATACTTGATCCCTTCAGGGCTCGTCCCGTACCCAACGAACGTCACTGCATGGTTCACTCTGGTCCCACAATACGGCTCATCGTACACTCCACCTGAGTAATGCATGAAACCGGGTCCATCTGCGTCAATGGAAACCGAGACAGGCTGTCTCGAAACAGCCTCTAGTAATGCACGCTCGTTGTTGCTTGGAACAGTTTGGAAACCTCTGATCGATGCGGCAGGTCTCTCATACCGGCACATCTCGTTTGTCCATAGGAAAGGGTACGCTTGCTCTGAAAAAGGGTATGCTTCCTCTGAGGAAACGCCTTGTTGGGCTATGTAGTCGAACGCTTCTGTCAGTATCCCACCTCCACAACCATTATTATACCATCTGTCGCAATCTATAAGCTGTTGTTCGGATAATGATACGAGGTTGCCTCCGGAAATCTTTTTCGCACTTTCCACAGCTGCAACAGCTGAAAACGCCCAACAACCTCCTGCTCAAATATTCATCATTATAGATATTGTTAATTAATTTTCTTCTCAATGAGTCTCGTAATACCCTAAACCTAGACTGGGAAACCCTAACTTGGAGTTCAAGTTTTTTAAAAATTATGATGAAAACATGGAATTCAGTTTACTACAGTTTGTTAATCACGAAATGTTGAATATCATACACGTAGAGATCATCTTTAGAATGTATAGTTCCGTGAAGCTTACCGCATCGGCCTTGGTATTTAACCGGTGTTACAGCTCCTTCGTTTCTCCAATCTTTGGTCTCATGAGGGGAGACATCAGTGACGTTCTGAGCCTGAAAAGGTTCCACTTCATACATATATCCAGATGGCGAAAATCGGCCAGTGCTCCTAAGACCGGTGTGTGTGGCAATGAATTCCTCTTCGGGCCAATCCGCAAACTTGTTGACACCAAGCTTGTAGGTTCGGTGTCCCTTTCTATTAAATTCCTCAATGAATTTAAAATTCTTCTTGAACATATCGAATCTCATCTGCTTCTCGACCTCGCTGGTATAGACTCGAGAGAATCGATTCATCCATTGTTGATGGTGGTCAGCGAATAACGACTCTTGGAAGGTGACACGAGAGGTGGCTTGAGATACGTTTAAGCACATGGAAAGAATGGTTAGAACCACAAACATGAGTACTATCGATGTCATTTTTTTTGTTGATGGATAGGGTGTTGAGTTTGTTGGTGTGAAGTAAGAATGGAAATTGAGAAAGGTATTTATAAAGAAAAAAATTGTAGTTGGTTATGATCTTACTGGAAAATGAGAAAATATTGCAAGTTCACTCTATATTTCGCAGCGTTGTTTGCACATATATAGCAACCATTCTATACCTATTTTCACGATTTCATTTTTAAATAAAGAGAATAAGATCTTGTTATATTTACTAGCATCATTGGTGTTTATGGTGGTGTTACATATGCGTTCAAATGGAATCAGTCGTGTGTGATTTTAAACTGTTAGAATATTTGATAGTATTCTATTGGAAGAATATACTTGTGCCTTCGTGTGTATTTCAAAATAGTTTTTGTATTGATATATTTAATAATATATTTAATTTTGTTAGTTTTTATATTTTAGTTTGATTAAAAATGATAAATTAAGTTCACCAAAAAATGATAAATTAACTTAGATGAAATATCAAGACATTTACAAAATTTTAATGCCATAAACCGTAAATCCCACTTTAAAAAGTTAATTTATAGAAGATTTCTGTTTTAATTAGATAGATTGAAAGGCAAAAAATGACTTTTTGTGGTTCAAATGCAAAAAAAAAAAATAATAATTTGATTCCCTATATTTGGGATCTCATTTGGATTCACCTAAGTAAAAGAAATAATGGAAACTAGATCTTTACCCGCGCAACCGCGCGGGTGTTCTTTTCACTTTTATATACATATGTTATTTATTTTATGACATTAGTGATATATATTTTTTAACGTTGAACATATATTTAAATGTTTATATAAATGTATTGCTAATTTAATTTAAGATGCTCTTATGTATTGAGAGAATGAAAATGAGAATTAAATATGGTTGTTAAGATTTTATTATACAAATACAAAAGATAAGGTAACAACTTTTCTAAAGAAGGGTCCATTTTTAAAAAATCACACATGAAGAGAAGTTGTGACTTCTCTTTTAATATAATAGATGTTTTTTTTTAATATGAATAAATGTTTGACAGTGCAGAAGTCAATAGTCTTGTTTATTATATCACTTATTAGTAGAACGATTAATCTACAGTTATTTGAAAATTGATTAAAATACCCTACCCTAGTTACTACTTTTCAAAAAATCCTTAATATTTGGCTTTATGGTTTAGTATTTATTGGTGGGTTGAGTTTATAACTTCTATAAATGTGTCTATAAATGATATAAAAAATAAATATAACCTTTTATGAAAATAATTATTATTTATAGATAAACTTGAAAAGTGATCAAATTTGGAGTGAAATTGAAATTCACTTTTGCTCCATCATTCACAAAACATAATAGGTAACTAGGAAGTTGTTGTTTCGAAGACATGGCTAAAGTTTATGTGAAGGTTGCTAATTGTTTGAAACTAACCATGCTAAAGAACTATATCAATATGTATACTAGTTAATTTATAATAGTTTATTTAAAATTAGTGTAGTTTTAAAGTATTTTGAGATTAAAAACATCTTCAACTCATATATATGTTTTCCTCTATAATAGAAGAACTCTAAAATATAGATGAGCTTTTGTTCAAATGTGTTTTTCTATAATAGGAAAATTATATATTTTCCCCTATTATAAAGAACTATATCGAAATCAAAGTACATCTCTCTTGTAATTTCTATCTTATGGAGTAAAAAGTAGAAATGGGGTGGAGAGAGTCCTTTTTTAAAAATTGTTTTCTTTTATAATAGGTTTGTGGACATAGTCTAAATACACAAAATCGTACTGGAAAATACTTTATCCGTTTCAAATTAGTAGTTGTTGTAGAGTTTTACAGGCAAATTAAGAAACAAGATGAATATTTGACTTTGTCTTTGTTTGACTATTAGACTATAACATTTATTATTACTAGTTGCATATTCCCCGCGCAAGCGCGGGGCCGGGATCATTATGTTTGCGTGTATTTTTTTCGATTGTTGGTTTAGTGGATTCTTCTAATGACACCAATTAATAATGAAATGTAAAATTTCATGTTTTTATATCGTATGTCAAAACTTTATATAATTCTATATTTATAGTATTTATATTTGTATTAAACGATTTATCAATATGAAAATAACCTTAATTAAGTTAATATTCGTTGTTTAAGTTTCATTAGATAGGTTTTTATATATGGTTTTTTGTAAGTTTCGGTTTTGTTCATAAATGATGTGGCATTTTTATCTACGGAGTCATTGACTGTGGGAATTCATTCGCCGAAATCTGGAGTCGGTGGTGAGAAATGTTTTCAATGAAATTATAGTAGTTATTAAAATGTAAGAGAAATTACATATTCATTTAATAAATAACTTACTTAAATTTTGTTGTTTATTTTATTTTATTTCACATACAATTTTTTTTGAAAAATATTTGGAATGTGTTAAATGTTATTTATATGCGAAGTAAGGTTTATAGGAATAGTTAGGCTATAATATAGTTTTTAGTGTGTAAAAGTAGGTGTATTTTTTTTGCTGTAAATAGTTTTTATATTGTAGATCAAAACTTGATATAATTCTATATTTATAGTATCTATATTTGTATTAAACGATTTATCAATTTGAAAATAACCTTAATTAAGTTAATATAAGTTGTTTAAGTTTCATTAGATATGCTTTTATATATGGTTTTTTGTAAGTTTGAGTTTTGTTCATAAATGATGTGGCATTTTTATCTACGGCGTCATCGACTGTGGGAATCCATTCGTCGGAGTCTGAAATCGGTGGTGAGGAATGTTTTCAAGGAAATTATAGTAGTTATTAAAACGTAAGAGAAATTATATATTCATTTAATAATAACGAAAATAATTAATTTTTGTTGTTTTATTTTATTTTATCCCACATACAAATTTTTTGAAAATATATATTAGGAAATATGTGCAATGATTTAACTTTTTGAACTCCTAATCTATATTATTTAACCCTCATTAAGCCATCCACGTATGCACCCGCGTGGAATTCACTTTTTTTTTTTTTTTGTCTGTTCGTTTTTGGATTTATTTTTTATTATTTTTGGGTTGAGCTATATTATAATAGGATAGTTTTAACCGCGTAGGCAACCACGTGAGACTTGTTTTTTTTTGTTTTTTGTTTTATTATTCGTTTTGGATTCATTTTTAACTATTTTGGGTTTGAACTTATTAAGGTCTAGGGTTTATACAACTATTTTGATCTTTAAAACAATAAGCCAAAAAAAAAACATAAGAATCTTATAAACAAAAAGCCCATATGATAATAACCTAAATAAAAAAAATCAAAAATACATGATAGCTGCGTGGTTTGAACCCACAATCTTACATACTTAATTAGACACCTTATACCACTTGGCTAAAGTGTATTTCATTGTATGTAACCATCTTACCAAGACTATGTGTGTTTAAAAAATATTTTATGATGATGACATTAATTGGTTTATGCATGAGAGCAGTGAGAATTGAACCTATGTCCTTGGAGACCAAACATGGGGTCTTAGACCACTTGACTAAACTGATATTCTTTGTTTGTAGCCATTTTAAAACAACTATCTATTTTAATATAAAAATATGGGACCCACAATCAGCCTATGTGGACACCTTAGGGAGCCTTTAAACTGAATCATTATAATATAGATTTTAAAATTAATCAGAGGTAAAAGTGATAAATGGTATTTATTTTGTATCACAAATTTTAGGACAATTAATTTGAAACGTAACTAAATTGGATCTGTCTTGAAAAAAAAATTGGATATGTCAAATCATGATCATCCTTCTCAAGATTATATATATTGTAAAACAGGGTCACACAAGCCTTTGACTTCAAGGTAGTTTCCGTGCATTTTCACAAAATTTTCATGTAGAAGCAACATAATATAAAAAATAATATTCTATAGACCTTCAAAGATCCTCTCAATTTCTGTGATGTATATTTATATATGTCTGCTCTCTAGTCATTATCCTCCAAACTGTGATAAAGCTAATAAAGCATCTCTCTTCTGTTACACTACAGCGTAAAAATGACGACGGTGAGTAACTTTCTCTATATCCATTTTCATGGTTACTCGTACACACGTTTATTGAATATATGTCTGTGTACGCAGGTAGTGGAAATGGATGTGCCTATGGACTGTCCTGGTTGCGAGAGAAAAGTTAGGAAAGCTCTTGAAAATATTAAGGGTAATTAATTAATGAACATGGGTTAATAATCGTTTAACTTATTTCATCAAGAACTGGTTTGTAGATATAAAACATTTCAAAAACAAAACAAAAAAAATTCACCAAGAAGTAGTTTCTTGCAATCAAGAAAACTGATAATCAAGTCTTGGATTGAACAGGAGTCCACGATGTTCAGATAGATATGAATCAGCAAAAAGTAACGGTGACTGGTTCAGCGGAGCAGAAGAAAGTTCTTAAAGTTGCTAGGAGTATTACAGGGAGAGAGGTATGCCTATCGTCGTGCCCCTACCACCCCGAATCTAATGGATTTCACGACAAGTACTTCAAGAAGAAGTTTAACAAAAGGATCAACATGTCAAAGAATGGTGAGAAAGTGAGTTCTTATAACTACTACATGCATGGATGCCACGGACACGACCATGGTTACCGTCAGGAACGGCCTTATTCGGGTCTTATCGACGAGAACGCTACTTCTATGTTCAGTGAGGAAAACCCTCATTTCTGTAACATCATGTGATATCTGCGTTTTCATTAACTATACTATGGATGGTTTGCGCTTTGGTTTGGTTATGCTCTTGTAATTAAATAAACACGCAACCTAGTCGAAACCAAATTTGAGTCCGATCCTCGTCATCAGCTCAGTTGGATTCGATCCAGTCTCGATCAAAATGTTTATGTAATAAATGGTTTTGGTTTAAATTTGGTTAATTAAAGAAAGCTCTCCTGGTAGGTAGTTTATCATTATATTATATGTATTTTTTTTGGTCAAATCATCATATCATATGTATGAAGGCTTGTATTAGCTTGGTGTGACGATGGTACTATACTTGAAAGAAAAATATAGGTAAAAGCCTCTACAGATTTTTGTTTCTCACTTCAAAATTACAGTTTCATGTCAAACTTAAAAACTTTTTTTCTCAATATGTTTGAATCCTTACTGCTGCACTTTTTCTTGTTTCATGGAAAAACTTCACCCCCATTCAATTCTTTTAGTTAACACGTGATCAATTTAGGAAAAGACTATTAAAAATGTTCTTAAACTTTTTGACAAATTGGCACATGGATCTTACTTTATTCTGAAAAGTTTGTGAAGAAATGTTTTCTTTTCTAATTCTGGCGAAGAAGAGATTCACTACAAAAATTTCATTTTTAATTTATTCAATTTCTAAATAAATTTTTGTTCACTATTTTTGTTGTTGTTCATCAGTTAACAAGCGTCCATAAGAATATAAAGACCGTAGTTTGAGAAATAAAATCAAACTCTAGCTGGCTCCTACAAAAATAAATTTTAACTGAATCCAATAAGAAAATATTATTAGCGGAAAATAGATGGCAAGGAGAAAAATTCGGGTTCAAAGAATACGCAACCAGTCAAGAACCACAAACACAACAAATAACACCAGCATTTCCCAAAATAGACATGTGTTTTGTTTTATTGTCTATTTGTTCTCTATAAAAGGAAATGTTTGGTTGGATCTATCATTTCTTCATAATAAAGAATAATAATGGCAAAATTCGTCATCTTCTTCCTTGCCTCTGCCATATGTTTCACCACCCTCCTTCACTTCGCGGCAGCTGATGCCGACGATTTCGACCGCTTCCACATCAAGGGCTCCGTCTACTGCGACACCTGCCGTGTTCAATTCATGACCCGCCTCAGTAAAGTCCTCGAAGGTAATTAAGAAAATTATCTAATATAATTGATATGTAGATCATCTAAACATATATTAGTTATACAAAATGAATCCCATTTTTGTTTAGTTCAATGGTCTCAACTATGATTATGAATTAAATGTTATTGTGCTTGTGCGTTATTTTAAACTACAATAACATGCACCTTTTCATCTATTAGCAAGGATTTACGATTTGTCATCTTGTATGGAAAAAAACTAAAATAGTTTTAAATGACCTAGCGTATTCAAACGTCAAGACATGATCTTATTCACATGTCTTAGTTCGATAAGAATATACAAAACCTTACTTCTTTCTGTGGTGTATTTAAGGGGCAAAGGTAAAGCTCGAGTGCAAGGGTCGTGAGAACCAGACAGTGACACTGACCAAAGAAGCTGTGACCGACAAAGACGGAAACTACGAGATGGAAGTTATGGGAGACCACGAAGAGGAAGTGTGCGAGATCATCCTCGTCCAATCACCGGACGCAGAATGTGGCGAGGTGAACAATCAAGAATTCCTAAGAAACGCAGCCAGGATCAGTCTCACAGCTAATGATGGCATCGTCTCCCACGAGGTTCGAACCATTAACCCACTTGGGTTCATGAGGAAGACCCCTCTCGCTGATTGTCCTCAGGCTTTCAAGGAGCTTGGAATCGTCCCTGACGTCATCTTCTAAGCTTGATTTATTGATATATATATGTCGATCTTTCAACAGTTTTATAAAACATCTTTTAACATGTTGTCGTCTGAGTTTACTTAACTAACGGTGTTTTCTTTTGTTTCATATCTTGTGTTTGCGTTCCTACAATTTTTTGTTGTTTTATTTTTGGGAGTTCTTTTTTTTTTAAGAAGGATTTGTTTACCTTACAATTTTTAAGCTTCTAGAGTTCTTGTTTTGATGATTTGAGCACATGCATATGATTTAGAAAAAGCAAACATTCATTCATGTGGTTAAAATTGTCACATTCTTCTTTTTTGACGTGTTTTAAATCTGAACCCGATTTGTTATAATATTTCCTCCGAAATCCAAAACCGAATATGATCCAATTTTCTAAAATGAGTATTTTGAAGTCGACATTAACTGAAGAGATATTTGAATATATATATGAAAAATTGAAACCCAAAGTTCGATTAAGTATCCGAAATGAGTATTCGAAACCTCAATAAATAACTCAAATACCCAATTTCATATTTTTTTTATTTTTGGTTCTACATTGTTTAATTTTTTAAGTTTATAAACTTTATTTTATTTTTGAGTTTTTAAATATATCACTAGTATTTCGAAGAAATATCCAAAGCCCACATATGATAAAGACAATTAAAGGAAAAAGCAGATTTTTGTACAGTGGGCCTTTACTATGGGCTAGTGGGCTTCAATCTCAATACTCGCGTTTCCACGATATCCGTTTCCATTAACTTTTTGAGTTTTTAACTTTTAAAGCAAACAAAAAAAATGACAGAAACGCGGATCTTTTGCAGCGTCTGGCGTTGGTTTCATCCGAAACGCTAAAGTTTGCAGCGTCTGGCGTTGGTTTTATACCCTTTACTAAGTTTCAAAACTACAAAAAACACCTTTAATCTTCCCCATCAAGTCAGATATATCTCCGAGACTCCTTTCTCTTCACCGTCTTCCCAAGGCTTTACCCAGAGACGACGATTCCGCCGATTCATCAGTGAGTTTATTTTTTCTCGTTGCACAAGTTACTTACTTTATCTTGTGGGCTTGCTTATCAGATCTAATCATTTCTGGGTTTTAGCATTCGTTTCGAAATCAGTTATGGTTTTCACTCTATCGTTAGATTCTAGGGTTGGCTCAACGATGTTTCAAGCGTACATCTTACTCTGATCAGTATAGATCTCTGTAGAAAGTAGATAGATCGAAGTAATTGAACTGAAGAGTTAGCAATTACAGAGCTTTATCTCATCTTATTGCTCAAAAGTTAGGTTACAGTTCAATTTGCTTCGTAATTGATTTTTGTTGCCTCTATATGTTCAAAGGAAGTTTTTTTGAGACATTGTATAAACGTATCTATGTCTCTTATGTTTGCAGGGGTTTGAGCATTTGACATAAAAACCAAAAATGGTTTCGTTTCCCGCTACAACAGAGACAATATCCCTGGCACTAGAAGCCAACAGCTCTGAGGCTATTCAGATACTCTACCAGGTCTTGGAAGACCCTTCTTCATCTCCAGAGGCTCTCCGGGTCAAGGAGCAAGCGATCATCAACCTCTGTGAACGTCTCACTGAGGAGAAGAGAGGTGAGGATCTCAGGAAGCTTTTGACCAAGTTGAGACCTTTCTTCTCCCTCATCCCCAAGGCCAAGACCGCGAAAATCGTCAGAGGGATCATTGATTCCGTGGCTAAGATACCTGGAACGACTGATCTCCAGATCACTCTCTGCAAGGAGATGGTGGAGTGGACACGCGCTGAGAAGAGGACTTTTCTGCGGCAGAGAGTGGAGGCGAGGTTGGCTGCGCTTTTGATGGAGAATAAGGAGTATGTTGAGGCCTTGGCGTTGTTGAGTGGTTTGGTTAAAGAGGTTAGGAGGTTAGATGATAAGCTTCTTTTGGTTGATATTGATTTGTTGGAGAGTAAGCTTCACTTCTCGTTGAGGAACTTACCAAAGGCGAAAGCTGCACTCACTGCAGCTAGGACGGCTGCAAATGCTATTTATGTTCCACCGGCGCAGCAAGGGACTATTGATCTGCAGAGTGGGATTCTTCACGCGGAAGAGAAGGATTACAAAACGGGATACAGCTACTTCTTTGAAGCGTTTGAGTCTTTCAACGCTCTTGGAGATTCTAGAGCCGTTTTTAGTTTGAAGTACATGTTGTTGTGTAAGATCATGGTTAGCCAAGCTGATGATGTTGCGGGGATAATTTCTTCAAAAGCTGGACTACAATACGTTGGGGCTGATCTAGATGCTATGAAGGCGGTTGCTGATGCTCACTCTAAGAGGTCGTTGAAACTGTTTGAGAACGCTCTACGTGACTACAAGGCGCAGCTAGAGGATGATCCGATTGTTCACAGGCATCTCTCTTCTCTCTATGACACGCTTCTGGAGCAGAACCTGTGTCGTTTGATTGAGCCTTTTTCACGAGTTGAGATAGCTCACATTGCTGAGCTGATTGGGTTGCCGGTTGACCATGTGGAGAAGAAGCTATCTCAGATGATACTTGACAAGAAATTTGCAGGTACGTTGGATCAAGGAGCTGGGTGTCTTATCATATTTGAAGATCCAAAGGCGGATGCTATCTACTCTGCTACTCTCGACACTATTGCGAATATGGAGAAGGTTGTTGACAGCCTTTATGTCAGGTCTGCCAAAATCATGGCCTGAATGAGTGATTGACTTCGTCTTCTATATTTCTTTTCTCGTTTCTCGCTTATGTTTCTTCTTAGATACAGATGCAAGCATCTCTTCTCTTTAGTGCTTAAAACTGTTAGGATTTGGTTGTTGCAGTTTCCTTCTGTTAACCTTACACAGTCCCAAGTTACAAGTCAAACTCGTTGTGTTCCCTTTTTCCATAACGGTTTCATTCAAAATTCCATTGATTTGTTTTCGGCTGTGCATTTATAAAAGTCTGATCAACCCGGAACTCATTTCACAGGACCCACCAGTTTCTTTTACCAAAGCAGGACATGACTTGCACACAAGTCTTGATCTTGTTGTCTCTTCTATCATATTCTTTGATGTGTTTAGACTTTAGACAGTGTAGCTTTTCCATTTAACTTTGAGTGATTCAACGTTAGATTTGCTTCTCAAAAACTTGAATGTGTCACGGGTTTCTCAGCGAATTGCTATAGTCGTTGTTGACTAGTTTGATTATAGAGTTGTGGAGAGTTACCAGTTTGGGTCTTACACGCATACTTTCTCTTTGCCTTGGGACGGTCCTAAAGTTCGTTGCCGTATACAAAGTCAAATCCCCTTTTTTCTAACACTATAATGTGACATCATCCATAATTTGTTTTTTTTTGGGTTTGAAATTTCATCCATAAATGTTAAAATGTAAATGTAAATGTTTGATATTGATGTTAGTATAAATTTTGACGGATTAAGAGTTTTAAATAAGGGTTTTTTTTTGAAACAAGATAAGGGTTAACACTAGAGTTTTGTGAAAGTAATGTTTTTTTACTGTTCTTTATGTCTTAAAATTTGTGTTATGCTTTATAACATGTCCAGCAACCGATTATTCCTTCGTTTTTTTGAATTTGTGTTAATTTTGTATCATTCAAATTATATTCTTATTATGAAAGTTTTAATGATTATAATTAATTAATAATACCAAAGATAAGAATGCAAATTATAAAATTTTAGAAAATAAGTTCGAGGTCTTATTGGAAAATACAACAGTTAGAATCTCCTGTTTTTTGTACTATTCGTTGAATCACGGTAAATAAAACAATTCTCTCTATTTTAGCTTTACAAGCTGTTTAATTTAAAAGCATACATATTAAAATATTTTTGATAGAAACATTATTATCTTAGCATTTGTACTGTTCAAAAACGAGAAATCAATTATCAGTCATTTTTCAAAAAAAAAAATTTGTTTATACTTTTTGATTAATAATTGTTTAATTTAATATATTTTCTTAGATTTTAAAAACAAACTTATATTCTGACACAAAAAACATTCTAAAACAATTTATACTGTGAAACAAAAATTCCTTAAAATAAGTTACAAATTAAACGAAATTAAGGGAGCATCCTACTATTTCTGTAGGTTTTCAATTATTGTGTGATCGTTTGCTTGTTGCTGGAAAGTGAGAACTTAAATGCCCAGCTGAATAAGGTTTCTTTGTTAAAAGTTATACTGTACTATACTAATGTCCATAATCTTCGATTAACTTTACGTACACTTAAACTAAGCAACTTAAGCTACAAAGATTAGAAAAGGAACTCTTATTCGTTAATGAGATTAAGCAATAGCTAACAATAAACAAAAAGATATTCAGCAATAATACTATCAACGAAGCTAACTTAATCGACATTAGTTTTTATAGCATACAGATCTTGAAATAATTAGTTTTAAGGGCTCATTAATGGTCAACGGCACCGTCTTTCTTTTTATAAGAAAATTCCCACGAGCTTCACTTTACAACTAAACAAAATCAACAAGAGAAATTGATATAATTAAGGGACAGCTGTTAAGTAGATAAGCAGGTATACTATAATTAATATCCTAACTAGTTAATTTTTGTTGCTAGCCTGTACGTATATCCAGTAAGCAAATCAAAGCGAATTTAACCACGTTCTTTTCTAACGCGTTAAATGGAAATCCAAACCCAAACCCGAAACAAAACAAAAATAATAGGAAAAAGAAAAAGAAAATTTATTATAATCAACAAGATTGACCATCGGTGTAGCAACGGAGTCTCTTCACCGGAAAGTCATGCCGGAAACCACCCTGAGACGCAGCTGCTCGCCACTCTTCAACCAACAAAGCGTCAAGCTCTACCTGATCAACGGCTCCAGTGGCAGCTCCAAGCAACTCCGCGAACCCACCAACACGACCCGGAGGTTTGGATCTCCGACGACCAGCACCGACGGGAACATTCCGGAGAGCTCCACCGGCTGTCCAGTAACGCTGACAACCTTTGCAGAAGTGTCTTGGTTGGTTAACGTTGTAATTATTGAAGTAACAGAACTTTGTCTCCATGCTCTTGCATCTCGGACATGCTATGATCTTGTCTGGACGCTTCTCCGCCGTTAGATCCGATGATGATGATGGTGATCTAACGGCTGTTTTTGTTTGTAACTCTGGCTGCTGCTGGTCCTGCCCTTCTTCTTTCTTAATCGTCTGTACCGTATTATTATTGTTATTGGCGTTGAATGTTATGGTTTTGCCGAAGAGTTTAATCCCTTGGGAATCTTGGGTGGCCATTAAAATGAGAAGAGAGGAAGAATGAGAGAAAAATGAGAGTTGTAGTTAAGTTTCTTGCAGTGATTAAAGAGAGAAGAGACGTTTATAGGATGAAGATTTTGATCTTTTTTGTTTTCTTTTCTAAAATATTATTGTGAAACATTATTATCATTTCTTTTTCGTAGGAAAGGAGAGAAAAGCAACAGTGTTAGTAGGGAGAATATATATAAAAAGAATATGTTAGGCACATTTATTGCTTACTGCATTCAGTTCAAAGATATATATCTGATATCTTAAACCATATCAGCTGACAAAATGTGTGTATTCTTTTTCTTTTGTCCAAAATTGTGTATTCACTATTCAGTACAGTATCTATACTCTTTCCGTATATTTTTATCAAAAAGGTTTTCTGGAATAATGCTGTTTAGCCTTTTTCACGACTTATCAAGATCTATGTGAATTACATATCTTTTACTTTATCTTTACACTATACTTTAGTCACTAGTCACTACAGATAAATGAAATATATCTTTGCATATTTCATGTTATTTATTAGCTAACTAAATTCTTAAAACCACATTTAATATGAAACATCTTTGTTGACGTTAAACAAGTTACAGCTTGGAACAATAGCGTTGAAAACAACCAACAAGTGGCATCGAAGTAGTGCAATTAGTTAGATAAACAGGACAGTAACTAAGATAGTTAGTGTAATAACTTACAAATGATGGATTAAACTTAGGGATTCTTAAACTTTTTCCAAATAGCTTTTAGGTAATATCAAAATACCAGAAAAGTGAAAAGATGCTTATGTACATTTAACAAGCTCCATAGTTCATTCTTTTAAAAAATTGAAGCTTGTAAAAATGGTATTTTCTTTTTGAATAAATTCAACATATATTCAAAAAAAAATGAGATTGTACAACAAAACAAATATCGCCAAGAACCTAATTATTCTACTTATATATGATATATATTCTCTTTACATTCGAAGAAGCAGAATCTACTTCTTATTTTCATAGTTGGCTAACATTTTTAGATAATTCAGTAGCATGAGTCGAGAGAAAATGGTAAGTAACCCTCACTTTTGCTTTGCTGTTCAATTGGCATTGCGCTAATCGTCTAAAATTCACAACTATAAACTGACAACTTTTTGTATTTTTCCTAATTCTAGAGAAGTTTCTTTAAGAATGTAAATATACTACAAATGAAAAATAAAAAATATTATACAAGTTAGGTTCCATATTATGGTTTTTCAATATACTGTCATGAGAATTGTGTAAGCGAATTTGAAGGGTTTGGATTTGGATAAAGCGGCCAAAGAGTGAGAGCGTTTGGTGTGTTGCGTAAAAAATGAGAAGAGATGAAAATAGCGTAGTAGGGACCAACTTTCAATTCAAAGCCACACATCATCTTGTGGACCTCTCTTTCCAGGTGTGTTCCCGGTCATCCTTCCATTTTCTTCATTCGTTTATTTTATTCTTCTCACTTTTTTTTTTTTAATTATGAAACCGCAAAACAACTAATTAAGAATCTAGAAATTAGTTAACATTTGAATTAATTATTTTCGAGATGCATTGAGATTATCAAAGTATCATGTTTGTTGGTATCTAACATCTGATTTGAAGAAGTTTAAGCTAAATGGAAGATTTCTTTTTTGTGCACCAGCTAAATGGAAGATATAAATTGTATGTTTGTTCTTTAGGTTAAATGCTATAAACCCAAAATGGATAATCTATATGATTATACCCCATCATATAGGTGATGGATAGTGTAAAATATATAGTACTAATAGTTTGTGCAATTTTGTTTGTTCGATCAGTAGAATGGCTGAGTAGATATTTCCTCAGATAAACTAAATAAGCAATTCGTTGTTATATAAAAAAAAATAAAAAACAAAGGGTATGAGTAAAAAGCATGTTTCTAAAAGTATGTTATTTAAAATGCACATAATTCACGTACGTTATTAAACGCAAAAGAAAGTGTCAAAGACGAGAGAAAGGGAAAAGGATGAAAAGAAAAAGAAAAAAAGGAAAGCACTAATCGATATTCACGTTTCTCTTTTCTTCTCAAATTCGTGCTTTTATAATATATGTCTTCTCATTGGAAACTTTATACTACATAGTCGCAAAAAGAACAACTTTATAGCACTTTTAAAAGAGATCGACTTTTCCGTTACACATAAACTAAAGAAAAGTTTAATAAACTTATTCAAAGAGAGGGTATATATATATATAAAAATCTGGTAAATATATTATATACGTTGAAGCATAATTTCATCCACTGTCCATATATTATATGTAGAAGCATAATTGTTTTTTCGTGCAAATTATGCATGAAAAATGTATTCTGATATTAAACAATTGTACTATGTGATTGGATCTATAATTTCGACCGCATGTTATGGAGTACTACTATACATTTTACATTGCGTGCTACATTTCTTAGACAAATGTGCAATATATCAAAAGAAGTTTAGTCATGTTCTGCATAAATTAAGCTATATATATGACTATATGAGTGTGTATACAACTAGTTGTAACTTGTAAAGGTGGGTTATCTTTTCTTAGGCTATTATTTTCCTTCTTACTTTAGGATTTTAATTGGTTTGGTGACTAACTTTTGTTGGTTCTTTTCTCCTTTCATATCTTAATCTTTTCAGTATGTGCTTCTTTTGGTTCGAAAACTCACTTTATAAAAATGCGTTCTTTTTAGAGAAAAGCAAATCTTTTGTTTGGGTTTTCTTCTTTAATCCTATCTTTAATAGAGTGATTTAAATTAGTAAACTAATACAGAGCTGTTTCAATAAAAAACGAATAAAGAGCTAAAATGTTATTATTATTATCTATTTTTAATGTCTATTTGAGAGATATGACTCGTACTTTATGGATCTTGTATATAAGAAGATGATAAATTATCCATATCTATCCCAACTTGTCGGACTATGCTGAAAATATATTTTAACTAACTGTATTTTAAAACAAATGAGAGGATCAATTGTGATTTAGTTTTCGACATGGTCGTCCATTTAATGTAAATTAGCTCCATAACTTCTACTCAAAATTGTGAAAATAATTAAATATATACACTAGGCTTATATAACATGTTTGATAAAAATAAGAAGTTTCTCTCCGAGGGTTCCATATATCCCACAGTTTTAAAGAGATATCCCATACAATTAATAATGTTTACTTTTTTTTTTTTGAACACAATTAATAATGTTTACTTATTTCTAGAAAAAGTGGAGTGAATTAATAAGATAAGCTTTATACGTGTTTAGTTTAATTGGGGGAAAGTTGTACTTTTCCTTGAGGATACATGCATTTGAAATCTTTATTTCGATTAAGCTTTCAAAAGTTAAAGAAAAAAGATGAAGAAGTTGAGGAGAAATATTTTATTTTATTTCAACAAATGGATCATGAGTCTAAAGGTTGATTTTTCCATTTCGGAGAACGTTATGCTGATATAATTATAAGTTGATGCGATTTGTTCAACCTTGAGGTTTGATATCTTGAGTCTTGAGAGATAATAAAATATCCGATAAGAACTCGTCGGAAAACAAAGTTATATGATATTTATTGTTTTAGCAAAAAAGAAAAAGAAAAAAAAACTCGTCCGAAAAGTTATACGCTATTTAGCTAAATTATTCCGTTTATATGATATTTTTTCTTGTAAGTACCTTGGGATACCAATTTCTTGATTAATCATTAACCGAACACATTCAACAACAACTGAAAGGTATATGTAGCTAGACACAATCATGTTGTATATTTCCAGCATCTAGTTGAGAATATAATTCTGTCACCCATACTTGTATAGTCCAAGAAACAACACCAGATAAATATTGTTTCCGAATGAAGTTCAATTTCCCGTCACATGTCCATAGGGCACACGCAAATTTCTAGGATTTAATATTCGATCGACAATGCGAGACTGGCATAAAGAATTGTTGATAAAATGTTTATCTACTAAGAAAATGATATATTGTACACACAAGAACACAATCTCTATTGTTTAATCTCTCGATTCAAGTGGTAGATTTAAGAAATAATTAAAGAATACAACATACAAGCGAACTTCACGGCTTGCTGGTTCTAAAGACTTATCTTCTTTGAAGTCTCTGGTCTACTTGCCAACCCACTTTTTGATGTTTCTTTAAAGTTTTTATAAGCGAAGCCATTTACTAATCTCTTAAAAAAATATTTATATATTTATATAACACTATTTTCTATTTCCTCTTCGACTTGTTTGATTGCGATTGCTTTCAGAATCAATAAGCACAGCTGACACAAAACGGAGCATCTTCGTTATAGTATAAAGATCGAATAAAACATAATTAAAAAATGCATTTAAAACAGTTAAGGATATATTATTATTTGTCACCACTTGTGATTAACGTCAAACTTCAAGAAGAATTGAGCATAACAGCTTTATATCTTTATATTTAGTTTCTTGAAGATAAAATCAACTTATTTACTACAAAATACACAATTCACACATGTATAAGATTCCATATAATAAAAGTTGCCTGCATAACAAGATATATTAAACCCTAATATAGGTTGTCTCTCAGTCTCCGCAAGCAACGGCCGTTGTCGTGCATTGAGTAATTTAGAGTGAACAGTTGGAACTTAAGAAAATATCAGATAAACTATGAATAAAATTGGGAGATTAAAGGGCATAACGTATATAGTTTGCATTTCTCTAAAATCAAGATGATCGTAGTCTTTATGGCAGTAGGGTCATCGCTGTGGCAACCACGTGCTTCAGGTTGAACTGATGTTTATGCTATGTAAGAAATCAAGAATGTCGTTAAAGATGATATAACACATCACGAATCGTCGAATCGAGAATACTTTTTTCCATTAAGGCTGACTTATGTTCGTATCTGATGCAAAAAGTCTCCAGTTTTGGTCTCCTTTTCAGTGCCGTTTTGTTTATCCTCCCTGAAAAATGTTCTTTGAATAGACCTCTGAGAACATATACTTCTTATTCGTAGTTGGAAATATATCAAAAACAACTGTCGTGATATAGAACTTATCCACAATACGAAGAAAAATTTAAGGCTCCTCAATGCCTAAACTTGTTGAAAGGTATACTGTTTTTTCAAGCATAGTCATTGTGGTTTATGAGTGTCGTGTTAATTAACTGCTTTATAGTCTCATTGTAATCTACACAATCACAGAGAAGAAGAGAGAATATAAACTCCAAATGGAGTA